TACAATAGTAACAATTAAGCCTCCCCTTATAACTACTTCTATACTCATTTCCTATGCTAAACTTTTCCCTGCATTTTTTTTTTTTTTTTTTTTTCATTTAGTTTATCCTGGCCCTCACCATTGTCTAGTACAAGTTTAAATCTTCTCTTACAGCTTGGTTAATAGCCCTTGTAAACAAGCCTGAACATACAAGTTTATTTATTCTGTTATGACCCCTTTCAGAGTATGAAAGTGCATTAACATGCAAAACATGAACAGTTTACAAAAAAACATGTATGGCAACTAAAGTCTTAACTAGCTAACTAACACTGTTATAACATTTATATAAATTGAGTTTTTTGGACATACTACAGACCTACCACATCTAGTAGTTTTAATAACAGATACAACAGAATTTAGTTTTGCCAGTGTTGGCAGTAATCTTCCATTGTTTGCAATAATTGAACACAGACTGTTTAGCATTTTGTAATTCATTTGGAGACTCAGCCATGACAGTCGTATCATCAGTAACACATATAATGTTAAATAAATTTCCATCACTGAGATTATTTCTTATCTCTTGTCACAATACACTTAATCCCTTATAGTGTCTGCTAACATAAGATTCAAAGTCATTTAAGTAATTTACAAACAATATATATATGATAAATTTTACCCTTGTCTTACACCAACATTACACATAAAAACTGACCTTTTACCACTGAGAAAAATACATGATTTTGCATTTTCATATATATATATATATATATAATTGTAATAATCATACCATTTATACCATAGCTTTCAAACTTTATCCACAGCAAAAATCTATCTACTAGATGAAAAGCTTTTTTGTAATCAGTGAAGGCCATATAGATTCTTTGTTTCCTCCTCAAATAAATGCTAATAATAGAATTAACTACAAAAATATGATCTATTGTAGAAAATCCATCTCTAAAGCCTGCTTGTTCATCACCAAAGGTACCTGTAGCCTCTAAACAGTTTGTAATTCTATGGTTAAGGGTTGCTGTAAAACATTTCCCCAGGCAACATAATAGTTATACCCAGTGTTTTTTTTTGTAACAAAAAAAGTGCTGGTACTCGTATATATATAAGAAGTTAAGAGATGAAAACATACTGAATTACCTTTTTATAGAAAACTCCAAACTTTCATCAGGTTCTCATCTGATACAATTTCCCGACTTTGTTCCCTGCTTTTGATGTTTACTGCTGAGTGACGTTTTTGGAGCAACTGTGACTATGTATTTTTTTGGGTCAAAGTGTGGAAAGGGCGGTCCAGCAAGTTTAATAAACAAAAGTCCTGAAACGGTTTTTGTCATCAACGAAGCTCTGGTTTGGGTGACAATCAAATTCATCTGCGAAAACCTTAATTCATATTCACTGGAAGAAATGGGAATAATACTCAGAGCATGTTTCAAATGCTGCAATTTTTCCGGGACCGTCTTTTCAATCAAATACTGACGAAATCCACTAATCAAATCTCTTTCATTAGCTGAAGTCTTATTGATAATTTTCTGACCTCCTTTTCTCTGAATGTTAAATGAGCATCAATGTTTTCAGGCCAATGCTTTTTATCAAGCACGTGTGCACACTGTGCTATATCCCTATCTTCACTATCAAGCAACCTATTTTCAATCAATTTTTTTCAAGGTTCTGTAAAAAGCTTCTGGATTAATCGGAGGATCCTTTTTGCAATATTTGTTGTGAAGTGAAACTCCCTGGAAGTGAAGACTTTTGTTGGCTACGGCGGTATTTTTATAATATGGGCCTGGAATCATTCATCTTTCTTCAAAAATTTGTACAAGAGCTTTTATCTTTTGATACGCCCTGTATAAATTTATATCATGCTCTTGTAAGACCAAACTAAATTCACATATTGTTGGCAAGCATCACTCATCAATCAAATGGAAATTCTGTGCTTATTCCTGCTTCCTATTGAGTGGTTTCTCCCTTTGTATTAAATGTGTGATCCAAATTATGATAATCCAAGTTTATTACCTT